GGCTGGAACGGAACGGCCGGACGGGCCGAAGCCGGGGCCCTCCCGGCCTGACAGGAGCGGGGGGCGGGGGCGGTTACGCGCCTCGTCCTGCCGACACAAAATTAACGGTGCTTTCTGTTAATTGCTTTGAAGCAGCCGCTCTGACCTCGGTACACGAGGAGCTGCGGTGGTGCCCAGGACCTTTCACCCCCGGGGTGAGTAGTAACCGGGCCCGAGGGTGGCGAATGCGGGCCCGAGGCCTGGGGGGCCCAAGGCCTGGGGGGCCTTGCGTGGGGACACGTGCTGGGAAACCGTTTTGCGGTACAGGAAGAGCCCTGTGTCACGGCTGAGGGTCGGTTTTAGCTATTTGTTACTGTTTGGTGTGCAGAACATGCAGCGCGGCAAAACTTGCAAAGCGAATAACCCCTCTTGCCTGACGCAAATGGCTACAGGTTGTGGAAATTGTAATAGGGTGAAGAGAGTATTTACTAAAAGTGTAATAATGTGGAACATTAGAAAGGCATGAGGACACCTGGTATTGAACGGATAAAAACATTGAAAGCCATATCCTTAAAACCAGAACTCCTTGCAGAAGCTTACTCTCTTACATGCATCCAAATCAAAACCACACCAGAGGTCCGAGTATCTTGGGTGTTGTACAAATGATCAAACATATATTACTGACCAAGGAACTGTGTAAAAAGGTATGTAGATAATGTTTTAAACCACTAGTGGTGTTTTCACGCAGTGTTATGTAGTTGATGTTGCAAGCTTTCAGTCTCCTTACCTGCTGATCCAGATGGGACTGCCTACATCACACAAAAAAAGCTGTACAAAATCTGGCTGACAATTCATATTAAAACCATTTTATATCAGATCATGTTCTTGTTTGTAGAACAAGCAACCTGCTCCCAAAAAAACCCCAGGTAAATGTTTCTGCTCCAGAAAACACTCAAAATACCTGATACGAAGAAGAGAATGACCTGGCTTTTGCTTTTTTTTTAAAAGGGGTGCAGGCATATGCATGTATGTTTAGGGAATCAGGACTAGATTCCCTTTCCCTAAACTTCGTTTTCTTTTGAATTATGAAACAGACACCACGAAGGTCATTCTGAGGTGTCACTGCAAAAAGACAAGATGGTGTTGCTCTGTAAATTTAATCTCAGACAAGCTGTGTAAGAAGGTTTTTTAAAGAGGAAACAACCAAACACACCCCTCAACGAGGCTTTCAGGCCACAGTTGATCAGCCTTAATTGACTGGTGGATCCTCTAATGATAAAAGAAGCCTGGCTTGCTTAACTCCTGGTTACAACTCCTTACATAAAACGATGTGATTAATTATGAACATAAAACATGCCTGAGACCATGTCTGTGTACAGTTCTGCGCTGGTTAAGTGTGCTGGTTTTAGCGTTGCGGTAACAAGTCTGACAAATTTCAAGTCCATAAGTTGGAGTGATGCAGAAATTAATGATCTGGGACATGGATTAAAATAAATACTAGTTTGAACGTGAAGTTAAATGTGCATATTGCAGCCATAGTGCAATCCAGCCAGTGTTGCTTCAGTGACATAGGAAATGGAGAACTATTACCTTTTTTTTTAACATGTGCTTTATTATTTGGAAGTCTCATACATCTGAAGTACCATTTAAGGAGCACCTGTAGGAAAATCAAACCTAGAAGCATGCATTTTGAAAGTAAGGATTGTCTGTTATAATGAAATATTTCAAAGACATTGAAAATAAGCCTCTTTTCTTAGCTTTACAGGATTGTTCCACAAAAATGCACATTAACTGTATCACAGAACATACAAATATTGTGGATGGACAATAGAAATCACCACCTTTCCATATGAGATGCATCAAGAACAAATTGTTATCCCTCATAACGTCAGAAACGTAAAAGGCACCATAATAGAATGTTTAGAAAAAACTCAGTTTATGCCATTATATTTTGATTTAAAAGTGTAAGAATTCCTGTCCCGACTTAAAACAAAGAGCCTTTCACATCTGTAAATTATCATTAGAAACTTGTAAACCTTTACATTTTTTCCCAGAAGTTCAGGTGCAAATGCAAGGCAAATATAAAATCTATTGACTTATTAGATTACAAATACTACCCCATGAAAAAGCTGTAGTTACAAAAATATAAAAAAATATTCTAACTCCCATTGTTAGATCTTAGCTTCAATCTACACTGCATTGAGAGTCCAAAGCCAGAGCTGATTTGGACACATTCCTAGAGCAGGAAAGTGCCGTTTGTCCTATTTTTACACCAATATTCTGACCTCTTACTGCGGTTTTGCTTTCTGGATTCGTTTTACTAGTGCATATTAAGGATGCCAAGTGGAGAGCGCTAACAGATTAAAGGTTGTGTTTATCGATGGATAGTAGCAACGTAAGTGTTCTCAGTCTGCTGTCCTCCAAGAATTCCATTTCTCCAGGGATAAAAGTGTATTTGTTTTTAATCCAAGCCTCCATAGTAACTTTGTGTAGCAGCACGCCGTTGTCATTTACAAACCTGTGACCACTGGCAGGTGATGGGGAAGTACTGAATTCTTCTTCACAGACTTCAGCAAGGAACTGTGAGGAGTACACCAACTCCTAATGCTGTGTCATAGACCAGTAGCTGCTGCTGCTGCTTCAAGGACAGTTATTGGCAACATCTCGTCTTCCACACATAATAGATTGGCACGTGCTTTATCCATATGGTGATTCTCTAGCCCTTGGGTATAGTAACCTGGATCAGCATAGGATGTTGAACCAGCTACAAAGGCAGCCTAACAAAGTGCTAGTAGACATTAAAATGAGTTTACTTCTAAATAATAACTTAACGACTAGATTAAATGAGATAGCCTTAATGGATAAACTTTGTAAATGCTGAGCCTAAGCCTGACATACGCTAATGCTTTCATAGCTGAATACTGCACGGCACGTTCCCTCAGTCCTTTATCAGTGCTAGCAGGAGGTGTCCAGCTTCCAGCTCCAGAGAAACAGAAACCTTCTTTTGCTGTGCAGGGAAACAGGCACAGTCTAGTAGAGTAATACAGCTGTAGTCCTAGATAGCAGCCTGGTTTAATTGGCTTTTAATGAGCAATCAGGCTTGTTCAGCCAGCAGTATGACTGCGGAAGATCGAAGAGTGAGTTGTACTGTCGTTATCTTTATGCTTGCTGCAAGACATTTTCCTTGAAATATCTTTTCCTTCATTAGAAACCACCCCCAGCGTTTCTCCTGCTATCGACATTTGTTAGGCCTTGCCAGTTCAGGCTGAATTTTTGCCAGTTAATGGGTCTCTCCCTCATGTGGCTCCAAATAAACGTTCTCCATAGATAAAGCAATTCTGAAATAGTGTTGTATTTATCCTACTTGAAGGGATTGACAGGACTCACATCTGCTTTGAAACAGTGCCTTACATCTTCCATGTATGTAAAAGATGAGTTAACAGGAAACACATGGAGTCGTTATGAGGAGTGTTCAGTGCTGTTACGCTGGGATAACGTCTTGAAAAGCACATGAATAGGAAGCTAATGTTCCTCATTATGTTTCAGTTTCACAAAAATAGGATTCAAGCAAACACCATGTCCATTCCACGGATCAAAACTGTATGTTCCATTCAGACTAAGCTGTGGTGGCAGGATTTCTCTTTAACAGAAGTTTAAAGGTATCTGCACGCACGTGCCAAAGATTATTTTTTTCTAAATAAGCCCGCTGTACCTACATGCTTAATCAGATTTGGAGAACACTTCATTCTTACCACAACAAAAATGAAACCAAACAATACCTATAGTGTAGGCTTTTGAATTTTTGTTTAGTAGAATTTTTGTAAGAAACGCCCCACACACAGTAGTAGTTTTAATGAGTAACTCCCTTCCCCAGCCTAGTGAGTCAAAAGCTCACAAATGTAACTTCCAATCAAGGCACAAAATCATTTACTGACTCTTTTCAATGCGTTCTTCACATTCTCCCTTTCCCCTTGAAAAGAAAGTTGGTGTAACAATGTCCTCTGCACCAGACATTAAATTTAATAGTCCAATAAGTCGTAGCAGTATCTGAGATTGGTTCTGGCTATTTTGAATTTAGTTAAATTAGATGAACAGCACATTCTCAGCACATCTTTGTTCATTTTCTGCATTCGCCTTGAAGGGGAGGGGATGAGGGGGAAAAGCCACAGTAGTTTCATGCATATTTTTCAAGAAACTTCATGTGGAAGTCTTTCACTTTCTCCAGTAGGATCTTCAGCTTCTCTACTGGAGGAAGAATGGTCATTCTGAAAAATATTATTTAAAGGAAGAAAAAAAAAACAACCCAAATTATCTTCAGAACAAACTAAACTCTGATCTTTGCATAGATCGTGATTAATCTCAGGGCACAGCTAGTAATGTGTTAAATTTAATAACTGTTTTGATGTGACTTTCTTATTTTCTGCATTTGTGCTTTAATTGAACTATACCATTGAACTACAGCAATTTGTTTCAAATGGTTGATATGCAGGAATTCAAGAATAGTTTTTTTTTTGTTTAGTGACAAAGAAGGTTATCAGTAAGAAATAACAGCAACTCAAGTTTCCATTTTTGGGGCAGTTATGCCAAATTATATCCTTTTTTCCAGCTTTAGGGGTGGGCACTTAAAGTAAATGTACATTTCAGTTTGAACTGAAAACTTAATTGCAAAGCACTGAAACAATGCCTCATCCCACACTGCAGATTTTAGTCACTTCTTCCTTTCTTGTGCATAATCTGAAAATCACATTGTGCATGTATGTGAGACAGTATGCAAGGCCTACAGTACAAGATGTTTTTCCCACACTGCTAAGGGAATGGACTCAGACCAGCTTTTCCCTGGAGCTGCACGCACCCAGGTAGCTAACCCAGCTATCTGTGTTGCAGAACTATGGTGGCTAAGGGGCCTCTGTTATGTTGCTTCAGACCGAGCAAGGCTAAATTCCATGATAAACGCTAGTTATCAGTGCCATGGCTGGAGTGAAGTGCTGTTTATTGGAAGCAAGAGCAGTAGAGTTTATGTTCACAGTTTTGGTAACAGAACTTCAGTCCCACACCTTGTTTTGGTAAAGTGATGAGTTATTCAGCGTGTTTAAGGAGCAGATTTATAGGGAAGATACTGCATCTTTCATGCAGTTTCTCCCTATGCAAATACTGTTTAATCGCCCCTCCCCCAGAAGCAAGCAGGGCAATTTTTGTAATGCCTCAAACAACTTTAAGATTAGAGAATAAGCTATTATTGTTTGGATTCGTAGAGAAGGCACTGCAAATGTCAACGTATAAAAATAGAATAAAACTGTGTCAGCAAGCTGTGAAAACACCGTAAAAACATGAACAGCTCCTCTAGCAGGTCAGGTCTTTGACCTAGCTGTCCGTCCACAGCAAGTGCCCAGTAGAAAGTGAGACAACTTAAGCTGAAATAAAAATCCTTACCTTTAAATCAGAAGAGAAAGTACTGGGATGGGACTTAGCTTATTGCACGTCATTTGATTTTAAACGAACAGAAACTGTACCTGAAATGGTAGCTTCCTTCTCTTTGGCCAAATCCACTTCCAGGTACAACACATATTCCGGTCTCTTCCAGAAGTTTCATGCAATAGAACATATCAGGTGCCATTTTATGAGCCTAAGGGAATGGATGGTTTGGAATTACTGAAGTCAGAATATTCCAAATATACAGAATTTCATTATTTCTTCATGAAACTTTATCTTACATTATTAGTTTCTTACTCCATTTACTAAAGAGGATGATGGACAGTTGCTGATGGGACAGTTCATATTGTGAATTAAATAACAGTACTTCATGGCAGAACAAGGCCAAAGAACCTACACAAAACACTTGCTTCAAAGAAAGTTTTTACATATTTTTATTATTCTCCTTGACTTGCTTGTAACTTTTTGTCAAAAGTCTTAAAATCGTACTTTGAAAAAGCTAAGCCGCTGACATTTGACAAGATGAAATTAATTTGGGAGCTGTGTGTTCCAGTTCCATTGGCAGTTACTATTTTTTTCCCCTGAATTAGCTGCCGACTAGAAAGTCCCCTGATTAATAACTATGGAAGTTCTTAAATACATGCAGGTTATATGCCTAATCAAATAACCAGCTGAAAAACAGCCCTATTTTTGTCCTCAGCTATGCTGATACAATTCCCTTTAAAAAAATGAATGTTCCACATTAGACAACAGAGCTCTAGTTAGGAATAAAAAGACTTGTCATTCAGTAATACAGCTTACTGACCCAAAACCGAGAGAGAAGCAAAATTTGTAAGGAAACCTGCCTCCCTCTTGCCCACGCTTGCTGAACGGGGCTTCTTTGGCAGGGTGAGTAGCACACTGCCATCCACAGTCCCCATCGCACGTGCTGGCCTACCTAACCCGGCCCAGGCAGCACTTTGCAGTTATCACAGGTCCAGCTTCTTTCCCACCCTATGACTTAAACTATTTACTACTAATATCCTTGGGTAACACTGTCAACCTGGGAGCCTTACCAGTGTGATGAAATACTCTGTTTTGTTTCCCCCTCTTAAAATGAAGGTCATGTTATATTTAAGATCCTATGTAGTCAATGAAGTACTGCTTTTGTAACTGCATGAGCTTATCTCTGAGATAAAAACTCATCATTAGAAGTGGCAGGCACAAGTGTGTGAGGGTTAAAATGGATTCAGATAAAAATCACTGACTGACCTTTGCTTCTTCAATGGCTTTGGAAGGAATAAAGATCCGTGGGAAAGCATACATAGCTCCTTGAAGTGGATTGCAGTGAATTCCTGGTACCTTGTTAAACATGTCTTCTGTCAGTTTGGCTTTTTTGGCAAGATTGTTCAAAACAGACTCCTTCTCCTGTTTCAAAGGAAGGTGTTCAGATTGACATATTTGAAAGGGCAATAAAAACACCAGAGAAAACCGTGATGCTTCAAGAAGCCTTCCCTGAATTAAGCACTTGTAGGGCTTTGCTGAGCTATTGGAGCGAATGGTGTTCCCAATTCCAGTCATACTCTTACAGACAGCCGTGCAAAAAGGCATCAGCAGGATGCAACTACAAAGAGTTGTAGATAGACAGTAACCTGCAGAAGTGTCTATCTGCATGCCTCCTTCTTACATTCTTCCTTCTGAGCATCCACTCTCGGCTGTTTTAGAGACCGTGTTAGCTGAACCTTTGATCTGACTTAATGCTGTCAGTTCTTCAGCCAGATTCAGTTTGATTTTTACAAGTGGGAAGCTAAGTGTATACTTTCATACAGAATACCATGTTGTTCAGTATATAGAGGCATTGGATACCTAAGAAGCAGGCTGATTTTATAACTGTATTTGAACTTACAAGTAAAAGCCAATCTTATTTAGTAATTCTTTTGTCACACTAAACACAGGAGAAAAGTTGCATTTATTAGCAAGAAAGCTGATGTGGTAATGACTCCTTAGTGCTTTTTTTGCTCTTAAACAAAGGAACCATAATAGGAATAAAAAATATTTTTGAAGGTAGTCATGCTGAGTTTGTTTAAAATACCCTGCATAGTTCTGCAAACCGGTGCTGTTATAGGATTGTCCGAGAAGAAAGGAAAGAAGTCTGGTCTCTGTGCCTATTTGGAGGTCACAATATTTAGGATAAGTTTAGGAAATGCAGAAAAGAACAAGCATGTTATTGCTGACCTTTATGAACTGTGAATAAGATTCTTCTCCAGGTACTGGAGGATTCACTACAATATCCATTGCTGCTTGTCCTGAGACTGGAGGACAAAGGCGAACAGAAAGCAGCTTAACAAGCTGTCCTTTAATTTCTGGGTGCAAGTTAATGACCTCCATGTAACCTCCTCTGTAGCCACATCTGTTATTAAAGTGAACAGAAAAGATCAGTTAACTACAAGTGTATGAATCCTGGAGAAGCAATGAAAGTAACTGCAGAAGTGGAAAGGCAATTGATGAGCATCTTACAATATGTAACATGCAGGTGGTTGAAACAGCTGCTACGCTGGTAATGTTTTAAGATGGAACTAAATAATATGCCATTAAGGCCTAGTGTCCCATCCAGGGCAGATCGTGTACATGCCGCTTCCCCGTTAGACAAGTTAACGATTGACTTGGATTGTTTGCTCTCTGGAACAAGAGCATATGGCCATAGCAGCATTCATTTAGTCAGAAAATCCTTTTCCTTCCATCTCTTCCTCCCCAAACCAACCAAACTCAAACAACTGTAATATCAAACATCCCAGTGATTCTTGAGCTGTTCCCTTGAATGCTGGAGACCTTATTTTCCTTTATCACAGGTCTGGTTTAGGACTGTAGGATTTCTCCTTTGTGGAACTGACGCATTAGGTGCCTGAAATAAATCCACTTACTATTCGGTACTTTGAAAAACCACTGAGCTAATCCATTACTCTGCTTTAAATGCTTGTTTTCCTTTTCTTAATAGTTTTTGGTTAAAATTAATGAAGACAGTGGATTACCTTCAGGTCACCAGCACGGAACGGCTGTCCAACCAGATTAATGAGGAAGATGAAATAAAAAAACTAAAGCAGACTTACTCGCCCATGTATCCCTTAGAGGTGGAGTGAAAAGAGGCCAGCTCAACATTGTTATAGTACTCGGGTCCCATCTCATAGAGAATCTTTTTGAAAGAATGGAACTGGCATCCTTCAGAGTACACATTGTCCTGGTAAACCTGAACAGTCAGAAGACATTAATGTGCTCTGTTCCCCCAACTAAGGATAAAACATGGCCTTTTAGAGAGCCAGATCTGAACCCAAGAAACAGTGGTACATTCACAGCTTAAAGCCCGTGGAAGACACAAGGTTCTTTGTTAAATTGCAGTAATGATGCATTTTATCTCATGTGGCCATACTTAGTAGTTTAGCCTTTGGAAGAACAGTGAGCTTCTTTGTATAAGTTAACCTTTATTCATATGTTTAAATTAATTTTCCTTCTGTTTCTTTCATCTGAAGTGGTCTGAGTATCACATAGGTTTATAGGTCAGTTCCAGCAAAGTTCCTCCTTGTGTCTCCTTGCTTGTGTCCCCTAAACTTTCCCTCCAGTTCAAATCCAGATCAAGCCACCTCTGATACTAGGAATTGTGCATGCTTGTTCACCTCTTAATATGGTAACAGAGAATCTTTTCCCTGTACTTAAAAAATACCAGTACCACACATGGAACAAAATTACACTTCATATGCCTACTTTCAGCCGTGCTTTTGAGAAAACGGAATATTCCATTACCTCATCAGCCAGAAGAAAAAGTTTCTCTTCCCAAGCAAAGTGTATCACATCTTCAATGCACTTTCTGTTCTGCACCTGTCCTACAGTTTGATTTTTAAAGCAAGAAGAAAGTTAGTGGAGCATATATACACAGAACTTTTCGCCCAGACCTATTTAGACTACTAGCTTTTCAGTAAGATATCCCCTCTTTCTCAGAAAAGTGCTACTGAATTTTAGAATTAAATTCACTAAGTGTGAACTTAAGGAACATTTTTGGAGAAATTATGGTTCAAGGTAACTTAGTCCATCTCAAGCGAAGGAAGTGTGAGATACAGTTATCAATCAGTAACTTATCAAGAGCTAAGTTTGATAGGTATTTAGGATTTGCCTGCAATGTCAAATGAATGAAAGGGGGAAAAAATTGGTCTTAAAACACATCCATTAAACAAAATCGCTATAGACCTGTGGGATTTCCGGGGTTGATGATGCAGAGAACTTTGGGATTGCAATATGCTTTGGCTTCATTCAAGGAACGGCGAAGTTCATTCACATCTAGAGCCCAGCAATTTTCTTCATCCAAATAGTAGTTCACCTGGATAGCATCTAGTTCAGATATGGCTGCTGAATATAAGGGGTATTGTGGTATAGGGATCATCACTCCTGTTCGGGATTTTCCACCTCCAGAAACCAGGATCTTTAAAATTGTCTGGGGAAAAAGTATGAATTAAAAAAGTCACACACCAGAATCAATAGTATACGCTAGAGTAAGTCACTCATCTTCCTTCTTAAAAGATCTAGAGTCAAGGTAGATTTCTGTTCTAGAAGCATACAGTCATTTTCTCACATCAAAGGGCATTTATTTATTTCAAGTTAAGTTTCTGGCTGAGTGAGGATGGTCTAACTCAGCTTAATGGAATTCCTCTGCATGTCACCGCTTCTAAAGGTCATGTCTGATCAGGTGCCAAATTTAGGAAAAACATTCTAAGCACAAGGCTAGAGGGAAGGCTGAAAAAAGGAATATCAAGGTCATGATTTTCTTACTGTGCCCAGTTGTAAGCAAAGAAGCCTCAGCTAGTTGTTGCTTGTCGTCTTCCACTCATTTTATTTCACTAAACACAAGAGGCAAATAAATACAACCCCGAGAAAATAGAACTGGGGCCTGTGGAGGTTCTCCTTTGGAACAGAGACCTCTTTTAGATTACGAGCAATTGTGGTCAGGTCAGAGCAAAGCTAGAGACTCGCATTAGGGTATCACTATCAAGTAATAGATTTGGGATGAAAATCTGATGTAGCATATATAGTTTGTGCCCAGAAAATACAGACAGAAATGTAATGTTTGTGCTACGGTCAGTCCAGAGGATTTACCTGTGCCCAATGGCTGTGTGTTTGTCTGTAGGCTTTTTATGTGTGAATTAAATAAAAGAGTATATTTGATACAGGGAGTGGAGTGGTTTCCTACCTTTATAATCAAGGGAGAACTCTGAAGTGCCTGTGCCATCAAAGCAGGCATCCTTATCAACATGTAATTGATAGTGGAAAAACAAAGATACCTCTACAGATACAGCAGTGGTATCCTTTAAGTTTCTCATTGGTTCTAGAACAAAATCTGCCTTCCTATGCTTCTTGTCACATCCTAACTCAGCTTCTATGTAATGGTTTATAATCAACTTCATTTTGTACCCACCACTAGTTTAAAAATGCCAAGCATCCAAAATGTGTAATCAGGACCAAATGCAAATTTAAAACCTCTTCAACACCTTCTGTCCCCTACAAAAGGAACACTAGTTGTTTTATCCTTGGAAGTGCCCAACAATGAGACTCATTGTACTACCGACTTTTCATCACTGTGAAATCAAATAAGCATGGCGCAGATTTGATACACTGCGCTGCCACTCCTAACAAGCTGCCAGTATAACACTTGGCATCATAAACTCCGGAAAGCCCATTCACTGAAGGTGTCTGGAGAACTGTCATTCTGAACTCTGCCACTAGATGTCACTTAAAAAAAAAATCATTTACAAACAAGCTATAAAAGGCTGCCTTAATAAAAGCAAAGAACTGCTGGTTGTTGTAATATCAGGACATGTGTGTATGTAAAGGAAAAATCTAGTAGAGGCAGTTATTCCTGCCTTAACTGAGGACCGTCTTTGAACATTGGTTGAAGCCAGAACCTGAAGTTCTTCACAAACAAGCTGGCTACTGAAATAGATCTTTGGGATTTTCACTGGGATTAATCTGCACTAGCAGAGGGTTTAGTAGGAACAAGAGCTGCCAAGACTGCTCACCTCTGAGGTCATTCCTTCTTCTCTCTGCCACTGATTCATAGCCTCTATCTTCTGTGCTTATCTATCTTAACCACCGAGGACACCATTATTTAGTCTGAATGGTCTGAAGTTCCTAAATTTATATTTAGGCACCTATGCTGTTTATACTACCTTTACAAAAGGTACAAGTTAATGTATACTGAGACTTTGTCTCCATCTGCCTGTTCCTTAGCTGGCGTCTTACATCCACATAATTGGGTGTGTTGGTTATCCACTTAATGTGGCTTCAGTATCTGTTAGATCAAATGCACAGGAGTTTGAGGGACAAGATGTTCCATACAGATCTGTGTTTCTAAAAGTAACTGATAAATTATAGTGTATACCAAGAAGAGACAGGTTTCATTTTAACACTTACAGCAATACCATCACTTGCCCCAGTGGTGAGATATATGTTATCTGGATCTGCAGGAACCCCTCCATCTCTTCTTTCAATATATGAAGCAACATCTTCACGGATGCAATTTATACCTTGACTGGCACTGTAAGATCCTGTGAAAAACAGAGAATTGAGTACAACAAACATCAGTTTTTTTGTCTGCCAGCAAAATTTCTGCGCTAGTATTGTATAGTGTGTATATATGAGGGCTTTGGATCTCCAGATTATTTTTTTAAGGAGTAGGAAATAGAATTGATTTGCTCATAGAGCAAAAGAATTAATTTAGAATTAGACAAATATAATAAGTATCACTAAAATACAGAAATAATACACTGGATTGCTAAAAAGTAGGATTTAAAAGCTACTTCGCCAACTGGCACAGCAATCCCTTCTTGACTGTCTCCCAATTGCTCTCCTTACATTGAAAACCACTTCAGAAAGTCAACCAACACCTATTTTAAGTAATGGGAACAAGGAACAGAGGTAGCATGTTCAATAGAAAGGAAAATGACTTATTCAAATCCATGACAAAAATACAATTTCTGTTTGCAATAAGAAAATAATATAGTACTATTTTCTCCCACAGTCTGAAACCCAAAAGATCTTAAAAGCGTTTCTCCTCCCCCCCGACCCCAGCATCTCGCACAACTGCTTTTCAGTTGCTTGTAGCAGAAACATCTAGGACCACCCCCATCTATAAGCCTCATGTGCAGTTTACAGAGCACAACTAATACCCTTAAACACAGTAAGATGTGAGATGCCTGTGTGCATCATGGCTGAGCACGTGCAACAAATAAAGGGTAAAAATAAGCCTAAGCCAGGGTGAGGAATGGGTTTAAGCTATGAAGTCTAAGACTGATGGACAGTGAAGCGACAAGTGTACATCTAATTTAGAACACTGTCATGAAGCTGCAGAATCTTCTTTGTTTGTTGGGTGGAGTGGAATAATTGTGCCTGACTTAACTTTCATCACTCTGTTATATGCTAGTAGTCTGCCTGATAATACTCCTGAGAAAGCATAATTTATAAAGACAAAGAACCTTTTGGAGTACTGCACAATTGCATGGGACAAAATGGAAATTCAGGGCACAAAGTTCCCTGATGTCATAAATATTTACTTTTACGGGACTAAAAGTCATGTAGGTTCTATACATGGGTCTTTCACTACAGCTAGGAAGCTGCTGTTAAAGCAAGAGAACAAACCTAAACTGTCATTCTGTCTTGTGCTCCATTGAGGACTGAGTCCCACTCAGCATATACAGAAGACCTGAATTCAATTTTCAGGTCTTTAGCACTTAATTGTACTCAATTGACAGCTTTGACTAGGACCCATCTGTTTGCACTGTGGGATGCAAATAAATAAACCCAGCCCAAAAAAGCTGCATGTACATATATTAAATATTTTTATATATGGGAGAGGGGTAAATTTCTCAACTACCTGGAAAGATATGGCCATTATCCCACATGCAAAGTAAGTGGTGTTAAAGGAATCCCAGTGTATCGGAAGATAACAGAAGCTGAGGACATATCTAAGCCTTCACACATGGTCCAGGAAGACTCAGTACTATGAGTAGAATTTTGCCAAATGGAAATGAGATTATTCCAGTTCATATCAGGAGGTCAAGACATTCATATTAACTTTGCAATTAATACATTTAAATAGGCCAGTATAGATGTAGGTACAATGTTTCAGATAGCTTGACCATATGTAGTGTAGCCACTTCTGTATTGCACAAATTCTTTGAAAATAAGGTTTTGTTAGAACACAGCACAGCACTTAAATCTACATGGAGGGATCGATTTTTGACTTGTTTTTTCCCAAAAAAGCCAGTTTCTCCTTCTCACCCATGAAGAGAACAGTGGTGTTAGTCAATCAACAAAGTGATAGGAGTAACTTCCATTCACCTGCACATCCACTTGCCTCAAACTGCCTGTTTATGAAGTGCTGTACGGAGGCTGATGAGCAACTGAGGCCAAGAGAAGGGGATGATGTATGATACTAGAGGCAGGGAGGGGGGACAGAAGCCATAAGCCAGTACAGCAGATCAGCAAGGTCTACATTGGTTTTAGTTTTCAGCAATTGAGAGGGACAGTTGTTCATGGTACATATCATGTTCTGTTTCATCTCTTTATCAATGACCTGGACAAGGGGATCAAGTGCACGCTCAGTACGTTTGCAGATGACACCAAGTTGGGTGGGAGTGTTGATCTGCCTGACGGTAGGAAGGCTCTTTAGAGGGATCTGGAGAGACTGGATCGATGGGCCAATGGGATAAGGTTCAAAAAGTCCAAGTGCTGGGTCCTGCACTTGGGTCACAACAACCCCTTGCAACGCTACAGACTTGGGGACAAGGTGCTGGAAAGCTGCCTGGCAGAAAAGGACCTGGGGGTGTTGGTTGTCAGCCGACTGAATATGAGCTAGCAGCGTGCCCAGGTGGCCAAGAAGGCCAGTGGCATCGTGGCGTGCATCAGGCAGAGTGTGGCCAGCAGGATGAGGGCAGGGATTGTGCCCCTGTACTTGGCACTGGTGAGGCTGCACTTCGCATCCTCATGTTTTGGGTTCCTCACTTCAAGAAAGACACTGAGGGGCTGGAGCATGTCCAGAGAAGGGAACGGAGCTGGGGAAGGGTCTGGACCACAGTTCCTGTAAGGAGCAGCTGAGGGAGCTGGGGGTGTTCAGCCTGGAGAAGAGGAGGCTCAGGGGAGACCTTATCACTCTCAGAGCTACCTGAAAGGAGGGTGTAGAGAGGTGGGGGTCAGCCTCTTCTCCCAAATAACAAACAATATGACAAGAGGAAATGGCCTTGAGTTGCATCAGAGGAGTTTTAGATTGGATATTAGGAAAAATTTCTTCACTGAAAGGGCTGTCAAGCACTGGAACGGGCTGTTGAGGGAAGTGCTGGAGTCACATCCCTGGAGGTATTTAAAAGACGTGTAGATGTGGTGCCTAGGGACATGGTTTAGTGGTGGCCTTGGCAGTGCTGGGTTAATGGTTGGACTTCATCTTAAAGGTCCTTTCTAACCTAAATGATTCTATGATTCTATTCAAAGGTTCTATATCGGGAAAAAACAGTTTAGACTCCAGTTACTTACAGAACTTCAGTTTATCCACTGAAATTAAAAGGATGCATTCAGAATGATCATCCTATCTGAATATTGCAGCTACTTCCGGCCTACTTCCTCAGTTAATGCAAATTACTTGAAGTACATGATCTGCTGTGTTGTGGTTTGGCCCAGACAGCAACTAAGCACCACATAGCCATTCACTCACTCCTCCCCCACCCCGATAGGATGGTGAGGAGAAGATACATTCTGTGTTAGGCTGTGTTGTTAGGAATAGTCCAAGGCTGAAATACTGCTAACGTAACCACTAGCTAGGTTTTGTTTATTTTATTGTTTCACCTAATCTCAAAATATGCACCTAATCTCAAAATATGCCAGTGCAAATAGGCACTGCAATCACTAAGATTAAGAAATACGCCAATTATTCTAATACGTACTCTGAAATGTCAGTTAGCCTATGTGAAAGAAGGTACTTAAGCGTGCCATACCCAGTAGCTGTTGCACTGTCTGCAGAGTAGAAATTTTGGTGGCATTTCCCAGGTACAAGTAGGCAGTGCAATTCCATTTGCTCTCTACTGAATATGCAAAGTTTGTGCTTATTTATGTGCCTGTCATATGTACACTCTTGCAGAAGCAATAGTTGAAGATCAGAATTCTTTAGTTCTTTCAAGAGTTATTTTACTTCGGAGAAACAGGGCTTTGACAAAACTGTCTTGGCTAAGTAAAACACTACCAGCTTTCAGCTGTGTAGCTTTCCCTTCGCAGAGCATTATTGCCTTGGTACCTGAGTTTCTGGTACCCCAGTTCATACCCTGACAGACATACTTGGAGCGATGGTTCAAAATTAAGATACAGGACTGTGAACTGGATCTGCTGAGATGGACATACATTGTTTGTTGATACTGCCATTACATGGACAGTAGACTCCTTGGCAGAGAAACTCGTAGAGATGATAGAATTGTGAACAGCCCCACCTAGACTTAGCAGAGGACATAGCTGCCAGAGCCCAGGATTAACAGATGTCATAAGAGCAGTAGCAAAGCTTCACTAGTACTCTCTGCCACTTACTTCTCTAACACAGAGAAGCTCATCATTCTGTTTAGGGTTATGCCTAGATGTTCTTGTGGTGAGGGCTCCAAAACTGTATAATCCTCATCTTGTCCTCCTCTGTGACAAGTCTCATCAAAAATTTGCTTATCAGTAAGCCGCACCATGAACTCTCCCCCTATCATTTTGCCCTAGATTATCTCCCATTTGACTGGTAATCATATTAAAAACAATTAAGAAATTTCAACACTGCAGATACTCAAACTACCTTTGTTGAGTCTAATACCAAGAGGAGCAATTGAAACAGACGCTTACCTAAGCTGTTTCCTCCACAACCCTGCAAGATCCTTCTGGCTCGCTTTTTGGCATCTTCTGGAAAACTTGGGCTGTCCAACAGGTTTGGGTATGTACACAGTGCCACTACCTAGAGTGCCAAGAAAATGTAAATTGGCCACTTCTCAGTGGGTATTTTAAGTGGGTAATATTACTGTTAACTGTCTGTGGAAAGGAAGATCACAAAAACTAGCTAATTTAAAACACAGGTTATTGATGAAGAGTTTGCAGTTGTTTTTTTTAAGGCTGGTGCTTACAGAAGTGAAGAAATCTTAGCAGGGTCTAAGTTCTGCTGATAAAAACAGCTATAGAATTATTAACTATTTGTATTACGGACAGTGAAGATTGGAGTCCAAGTGAGCTATGCATAATGCAAACACAGTAAAACACAGTTAATTATTCATGTTATCTCTAAACAGCTCTATCCTCCACTCTTTATGTATTACTAACCCCCTTTATGGACAAGAAATCAAGGGTTTAAATATGGAGTAAAACTGAGAAACGTGATCAAATTTTGAAGTGCCAATTGTGTGTTCTAATAATCCTTCCCAAAAATAACCTATAGTTATTACTAATTTGAATTTGTGGGAAATATTTAATTAAAAAAGAAGTGGTGATATAGAACATAGTAAAAGTAGAAACATGACCTAGAAGAGTTAAGTTTATGAGGGAATGTAAGACACACAGAATCTAGAGGTCTTGCTTGAGATCAGCTTACTTTGTTCCAGTCTCTCTCTCATTTTTATGCTTACATGGTGTCATATGGATAGGCTGTTGTCATCTTGTGGGACACTGACTAAGGAACTAATCCATGTGTGCACACAGTCATGGGGAGAAAGGATTTCCCATTTACGCAGTATTTCCTTTGATAACATTGGATCTGAATAATTTGTTAGAAGCTCTGGTCTTCCTAGTTTGCTGACAGCATGTGGCGTGGCTCAGTTGTATAATCACATCACGTGGCCCCCCAGTTTGATACAGCTTCAGTTTGTCCTGGAACTCCCTGAATTTACATCCAAACACAAGTACAGGCTGGG